TCTGCATCCTGCCCTGATGGAGAATCATGAACAGATTTGCCATCCTGCCTTACACTAGAAAAGTAGATAAGATACATGAAGCTAGGAATTTGCAGACATTGGACACAGCATAGGACGGTGACTCCTGAGAGAAACGGGCCTGGCGCTGCCCCCACTTACTACCTGGAGTTCCCAGGCTGCAGAGCAGGGAGGGAGAAGCCCAACAGACTCCAGCACTCCTGCAGAATTGAAGTAATGAAGTTCAAGGTCTGGGGATGGTAAGGTGGCGAACATTTGTGGGGCAGAGTTCCAAAGAGGAAGGAACTGCACAGAGTGCCGAGGTCTGCAGAAGGTTCTCCTCAAGCCTTTGGCTAAGTGCTAAGCTGTTTATATGTGAGAGGAAATGAAAGGAACAGAACACAACCACTGGAAAGCAGTAGAGCAGAAAGTGATCAGAGCTCACACAGGGCTGGGAATGGTAAGCGTTGCCCTACCCCCCACCCCACCCCATACTCTGCCCTCACCCCCACCCCCCTAACTTTATAATATTCAGAGCATTGGGTGGAGTCCTCAGAAGGGTATTAGCGTATTAGTGGAGCTAAGTTAGCCCTGAGCTAAAGACTGTTCTAGACCTTCTCTAACATAATTTAAAGCAATCCTTAAAGGGACCTGCCAGCTTGCAAATGAGTTAATACAGAACAGAACAAAGTTCATCTTCTTTCAAAGAAATACAGTAAAATCCAATGATGGAGAATGTAAAATTCCCAAAGAAAAATTGCAAGGAATGCACAGAAGCAGGAAAACATGATCCATAACCAGAAGAAAAATCAGTCAATAGAAACAGACCCAGAAATGACAGAGACGATGGGATTACCAGACAAGGACATTAAAACAGCAAAAATACAAATACGGTTCACATGTTCAAGAAAGTGGAAGAAAACATGAACATGATGAAGAGATATTTTTAAACCAAATGAAACTTCTGGATATGAAAAATACAATTTCAGCCAGGCACGGTTGCTCACCCCTGTAATCCTAGCACTTTGGGAAGCTGAGGTGTGTGGATTGCTTGAGCCCAGGTGTTCCAGACCAGCCTGGGCCACATAGCGAAACTCCATCTCTACAAAACAACCTTTTAAATTAGCCAGGCGTGATAGCACATACCTGTAGTCCCAGCTGCTTAAGAGGCTGCAGTAGGAAGATCTCTTGGACCCAGGATGTCAAGACTACAGTGAGCCATGATCATGCCACTGCACTCCAGCCTGGGTGATAAGAGTGAGACCCTGTCTCAAAATAAAATAAAATTTCTAAAATAAAAAACAGTGGATAGGATTAACAGCAGATTAGACATTGCAGAAGAAAAGATGAGTGAATTTGGAGCTACAGCTGTAGGAATTATCCAAAATAAAACACACCAAAAAAAAAACTGGCTGGGCACAGTGGCTCATGCCTGTAATCCCAGTACTTTGAGAGGCTGAGGTGGGCGGATCACCTGAGGTCAGGAGTTTGAGACCAGCCTGGCCAACATGGTGAAACCCTATCTCTACTAAAAATACAAAAATTTTCCTGGTGTGGTGGCATGCACCTGTAATCCCAGCTACTTGGGAGGCTGAGGCAGGAAAATTGCTTGAACCTGGGAGATGGAGGTTGCAGTGAGCCGAGATCACGCCATTGCATTCCAGCCTGGGTGACAAAAGTGAAACTCCGTCTCAAAAATAAGACTATCCTGTGGTATAATATTGAATCATCTAACTTACGTATAGTATGTTAGAATCTAATTGGAGTGCCAGGAAGGAGAGAGCAGACAAATGTTGGAAGAAATAATGGACAACATTTTTTCTTTTTTTTTTTTTTTTTTTTTTTTTTTGTTTTTTTTTTTTTTTGAGGCGGAGTCTCGCCTTGTCACTGAGCGAGTGCAGTGGCCGGATCTCAGCTCACTGTGAGCCCGCCTGTCTACTTCATTCCTGCCTCGCACCCTGAGTAGCTGGGACTACAGGCGCTGCTACCTCGCCTCTGCCAGATTTTTGTATTTTTTAGTAGAGATTAAGTTTCACTGGTTAACATGATGGTCTGACTTCAACTTGATCCGCCTGTCTCAGCCTCCCAAAGTGCTGGGATTACAGGCTTGAGCCACCGCGCCCGGCCCACAACATTTTTTCTAAATTTGTTGAAAACTGTAAAGTCACAGATCATAGGAGCTCAATGGACTACAAGATAAGGAATGTGAAGAAAACTATACTAAGGCTCATCATAACCAAATTTCTTAAAACCAGTGACAACATTTTAAGAGTAGACAGAGGGAAAAAAAGACAGTACACATACAAGAGCAAAGATAAGATTTATAGCAGGCCAGGGGTGGTGGCTCACACCTATAATCCCAGCCCTTTGGGAGGCTGAGGAGGGTGGATCACCTGAGGTCAGGAGTTTGATACCAAGCAGGCCAACATGGCGAAACCCCGTGTCTATTAAAAATTAACTGGGCATGGTGGTGCACGCCTGTAATCCCAGCTACTCTGGAGGCTGAGGCAGGAGAATCACTTGAACCCGGGAGGCAGAGGTTGCGGTGAGCTGAGATTGCTCCATTGCACTCCAGCCTGAGGCAACAGAGTGAGACTCCATCTCAAAAAATGAAAAAGAGTTACAGCAGATTTCTCATTGGGAAGGTGGAACCAATAAACAATGGAGCAACATCTCTATTGTACTGAAAACAAAAACAAAAAGCTAAATTTCTCAATTTAAAATTACATACCCAGCAAAAAAAATTTCAAAAATAAATGCCCAGTAAAAACTCTTTCAGATAAACCAAAACGGAGAGAATGTATTTTCAGCAGAACTATACTCTGAGAAGTGTTAGGGGAAGCTCTGCAGAGCAAAGAAATAGAATGCGAAATGGAAATTGGGATCCTCACAAAGGAATGAATGAATGGTTTTTCATTCATGCAAAGGAATGAAAAAGAATAAAGTAGCATGAGGCTTAAAACATGTTGGAGTACTGGATAATATATTAAGAAGTCAGGCCTGGCGCAGTGGCTCACGCCTATAATCCCAGTATGTACGGAGGCCAAGGCAGGTGGATTGCTTGAGCTCAGGAGTTCAAGACCAGTCTTGGCAACATGACAAAACTCTGTCTCTACAAAAAGTTAACTGGCATGGCATGGTGGCACATGCCTGTAGTCCCAGCTACTTGGGAGGCTGAGGTGAAAGTGTTGCTTGAGCCCAGGAGGTCAAGGCTGCAGCTAGCCAAGATCACACCACTGTACTCCAACCTGGGCAACAGGGCAAGACCCTGTCTCCAAAAAGAAAAATAAAAAGCAAAGGATGGGATATGAGACTCATACTGTAAGTAATGTGGTATAATATCAATTGAAATAGACTGTATTATGTTAAATATGTGTAATGTAAAACTAGGGTCACTACAAACAAAAAGATACATCATATATTCACCCACACTGGAAGGCAGTGGCACAGTCTCGGCTCACTGCAACCTCCACCTCCTAGGTTCAAGTGATTTTCCTGCCTCAACCTCCACAGTAGCTGGGATTACAGGCGTGCATCACCACGCCCGGCTAATTTTTGTATTTTTAGTAGAGGTGGAGTTTTACCATGTTGGCCAGGCTGGGCTCGAGCTCCTGACCTCATGATCTGTCCAACTTGGCCTCCCAAAGTGCTGGGATTAGACGCATGAGCCACTGCGCCCGGCCACATCTAATATATTAATAGGGGGATAAAATGAAATCCTAAAAAATAACTAGCCAGCAAAATAAAGTCAAGAAAAGAGGAAAAAGGAACAAATAACAAATAGTAGATTTAAACCTAGCCATATTGATCATTACATTAAATGTAAGTGGCATCAACATTCCAATTAAAAGACAGAGATTCTCAGATTGGATTTTATTTTATTAGTTTTATTTTTTTATTCTTTTTTTAGACAGTCTTGCTCTGTCGCCCAGGCTGGAGTGCAGTGGCACGATCTCGGCTCACTACAAGCTCTGCCTCCCAGGTTCATGCCATTCTCCTGTCTCAGCCTCCTGAGTAGCTGGGACTGCAGGTGCCCGCCACCAAACCCGGCTAATTTTTTGTATTTTTAGTAGAGACGACGGGATTTCACCATGGTCTTGATCTCCTGACCTCGTGATCCGCCCACCTCGGCCTCCCAAAGTGCTGGGATTACAGGTGTGAGCCACCGCGCCTGGCCTATTTTATTTTATTTTATTTTTTGAGATGGAGTCTTGCTCTATCACCCAGGCTGGAGTGCAGTGGCGCGATCTCAGCTCACTGCAACCTCCACCTCATGGGTTCAAGTGAGTCCCCTGCCTCAGCCTGGAGAGTAGCTGAGATTACAGGTGTACACCATCAGGCCTGGCTAATTTTTGTATTTTTGGTAGAGACAGAATTTCACCATGTTGGCCAGGCTAGTCTTGAACTTCTGGGCTAAAGTGATCCGTCTGCCTTGGCCTCCCAAACTGCTGGGATTACAGGTGTATGCCACTGTGCCTGGCCAACATTTCTTTTTGTGAATCTCTGTCTCAAAATAGCACAGTAAGAGACAGGTTAATCCAGATAACATACTGGGTTTTTGTCAACTATGTTTTTTAACTGAATCAGCATCCAGTCCAGGGCTTCATGTTCTGCCCTCACAGCCAAGCCATCTCATACTGCTGGGACTTCCCAGTATGGCTCACCTGTGTAGAATGCCCTTTTCTGTTTTGTTCTCTGGCAGGCTCCTACTCATCCCTCAAAACCCAGCTCTGAAGTTGCCCCCTGGGGAAGCCCTCCCCAACCCCCAGGTCTTCCCTGTATCATAAATATCCCTCTCATGGAGTTCTCAAATACTGTACTATCATTTTTTTATTTGGCCTCCAGATTTTCTACTTCCTGAGGGCTGAGCCTGCCTGTCTCTTCCTGGATGGTGCCTGGGTCCTGTGTTTTCACAGGGTATGGAGAGGACCAGCGCCTCTTCTCATTATGGTCACCCATCAAGCTCAGGTAAAAACTGCCACTTTATTTTCTCTTTTTCTCAGCCTCAAAGACAAAAATCAAGGCGAACTCATCCCCCCCGTGCTGAGGTTCACAGTGACGTACCTGAGAGAGAAAGGTGAGACAGGGCCGGCTCCAGCTGGGTGACTTGAGGGCTGCTGGGTGCACCTCTCTGGGTGGTTTGTCTTGGATCCTGAGCACCCATAAGCCAGGGGGTGTGACCAGGAAGGGAGGGGCTCAAGCACAGTGGCTCCAGGTCTGGGCTCTGGTCTTGGATGGTCTGGGTTTGAATCCTGTCTCCCCTGTGTACTTAGTTGTGTGACCTGGGGCCAGTTACTCACCCTCTCTGGGCCTCCATTCCCTTGTCTGTCCAGTGAGGTTAATAACAAACAGTACCTAACTTGCAGGATTGTTGTGACCCCTAAATGAGACAGTGCTGCAAAGCACTTCGGGTAGTGCTGGTCTGTAGGAAGCCTTCTGGAAATGGGGGCTCCTCTGATGGGATCAGCTTTGATTTGCAGACACCATTGCCAGTGGGGTGGGTGCAGTCAGGAACTTGGAGTGGGGTGAGCCTTGTGGGCTCTCCACAGCTCCTGAGGCTAGAACTGAGGTCCATGGAGAAGGTGTGGGGAGGCTGCTTTTACCTTAACGGGAGGAAAGAGGTTCCCACGGAGGAGCAGGCACCAGGGAGGCTTATCTGGCACCAGGGGTGCAGGTGTGCTCGGTGGGCCAGGTGGTCTCCAGCCGGGGTGCTGCAGTGCAGATGTGTAGGTGTCGGACAGGAAGTGAACGCCTCCCGCATCGCCACCACCCAGGCAGGGCTGGCTCCCTCCAGCCTCCAGAGCTCAGCTCAGTGGTTGCTTCCTCAGGGAATTCCCCCAACATGGCCAAAGCCCCTAAAGCAGACCCCAGCTCTGCCACGGACGCAGCATCGTGGGCCCCGAGACCCCACCACCCTGTGGTCCGTTTCTCATGTTCCGTCCGGCGGGGAGTTCCCATGCAGTGGCTCTGAAAGCCACCGCCGGCCCTGCACCTTCTGGTTGCGAGTGGCTTGGTTTCCTCTTTGGAGCAGGCGCGGTGGGTGGTCTTTGAAAAACCTGCTTCAGACAGGTGGGGCCTGGAGAGCCCATCCTCACCTCTAGGACAGGGTGCCCAGGAAATGCGCTTTGGCACGAGAGTCTGTGCACACGGGGATGGCATCAGTGAGCAGGTGTGCTGGGCGGGGCATGGGGGGGCCATCTCCCTCACACCCCAGACCTTGTGGCCCCAGTATTTCCCTGAGTCACGATGCTCGGCTGGCGGGTGAGCAGGTACGGGGGACACCCCACACTGGGACCCCAAGGGGCCCGCCTGTCCCCGGCCTGGACGGCCCCTCCTTGCCCTCTGCCGGTTAGGTCCTGCTTTCTGTAAGCCCTCTGCAATTCTGCCCCTCTCCCGGACAGAACTGCCTTCTTCACGCGCCCCATCATTCAGTCCCTCACTCGGGAGACATTTGCTGGGTGCCTCCCTCGTGCCCGACTCTGGGGATAGCAAAGTGAGCACACGGGGCGTGGAAGAAGCAGCGGTTCCGCCAAGAGCTACCCAGATGCTGACTCCGTCAGGGAGGAGGCCCTGCCAGACCGGGGTCCCTATTAGGGGGTTTGACCTTGTTGGGGGCTTCCCTGAGGGAGGGGCAGTAGAGCTGAGCTCTGAGGACGGGGAGAAGCTGGCCATGCTGGGGGACAGGCCCCAGAGAGGAGAGCAGGTGCAGAGGCCCATGGCTGTGGGAGTGCGGGAGTGTGTGGGGCTTGGAGGAAGCTGAGAGGAGAAGGGGAGGTCAGGCCTTGCAAGTCCCAAGAAGACTTGCACCTCCAGATGCCTGCGCCACAGTCCTAGGTCCTGGTGTTCGGGGCACCCCGTCATCCACTGCAGGCCCCCCACGGGTAGGCTCAGGCCTGTTTCTCTTCCTGGCTCTGGAGCCAGCAGGGGCCTGGCCGGAGGAAACCCTCCCCTCCACCCCAGGGCTGCTTTCATAAGCCAGTTACAAGTCCTGAAAAATCTCTTTATAAACTGACAATGGAGACAAGTTTTCTTCCTTGATTACAGTCACCTCTTTAGTGGAATCGCCTAAGTGAACTTGGACATCATCTGTATCTTCACTGTCTAAACAGCAGCCACCAGCCCCTGTGGCAGTAGCCCAATAGGGCAGGTCATATGAGGTTCATGCAATTGAGTGACTAGATTTTTAATTTAATTTTAATTAAAGTTCAATCCCCATGTGCAGCTACTGGCTGCTGTGCTGGACAGCTCAGCCCTAGCCCTTGTGGGAAGCCACATGTCTGGAGGCCTCCCGGGTGCCAGGCACGTGCTGGGCATCAGCGTGTCCAGTCCTCTCTGCAGCCCTTGGAGACAGGAGCTCATGGCCTTACCCTGTAGATAAACAAGGCAGATAGACTCAGAGAGGCTGAGTGCTTTCTCTGAGGTCACACAGCTGGCAGGCAGAGCTGGACTAGAGCCTAGGTCTGTCTGAGTTTAGAATCTGTTTCTGCTTTCCCTTTCCACGGACCACAGAGGTGGGAAATCGGGCAGGTTGGGGAATATGGGAAGGATCTGAGGAACAAATGAATTTGTGGAGGCCAGCCACAGGTGGGTGACGCCGTGGGCAAGGGGGTGTCATATAACATCCTGGAAGCCCAGTGGGCTGGGACCTGTGAGACGCCTGGAAGCTCCTCTCCTGCAGGCCTACGCACCGAGGGCCTGTTCCGGAGATCCGCCAGCGTGCAGACCGTCCGCGAGATCCAGAGGCTCTACAACCAAGGTGAGGCTGTCCCGCAGTCCTGAGCCCCGAGCTGCCTGGCCAGCGAGCACAGCGCTCCGGGCCTCAGAGCAGAGGCAGGGAAGCACCGCCCCCACAACCCATCCAACTCCCAGAAAACACTCAGGGTGGGGGCAGCTGCCCAGGAGCCATCGAGGGGCCCACTGGTAGTCCAGAGTAGGGACCCTTTGTGCAGACCCCCAACCCTGCTGGGACGTGGTGGCCGCACGATGCCATTTTGTCTTTAGGGGCTCTCCATCCGCACCAGGTGGGCACGTGCTTTCAGGAGACACCCTGCAGTGCAGGGCAGCTGGTTTTTTTATCTGGCAGCTCCCCTGAACTGGCTCAGCACGGCTTCCTTAACTGCCATGTGAAACCTGCGGGCAGGGGCAGTGGCCTCTGAGCTGAGGACACATCGCACTGATACTAAGCCGCTGACAAGACTTGACCTCGATCCCACTCGCTCCCGCGACCAGTTGTGCATCACACAAAAATGGAGCATTGGGTCTGCACTGGGCCGAGCTCAGGCCTGCCTGTCTTAGGCCCGGGGCCTGCAGTGTCATCTCTGCCATGGCCCTGACCTCAGAGAGCTGGCATTGTAGCTGGGAGCAACAGCACACCACAGAGAAGCCAGCAGCCCACCCCATCCTCCACTGGGAGCCCAGGAGGAGGCAGTGAGGGTGGTGTAGGGGCTGATGGGGCCAGAGCACCCCATTTCTAGGTGGGGACAGCATCATCCCCAGGACACGTGGCTCCAGCATCAGGCACTTCCCATGCGGACATCTCACGCCCTGTCTCAGAGCTCGTTCTATAGCCGCAGTGCCCAGGCCGGGGTGCAGACCTCAGCAGTGCCATGTTCTGTGTGCAGGGAAGCCCGTGAACTTTGACGACTACGGGGACATTCACATCCCTGCGGTGATCCTGAAGACCTTCCTGCGAGAGCTGCCGCAGCCGCTTCTGACCTTCCAGGCCTACGAGCAGATTCTCGGGATCACCTGTGCGTAGCTGCCCCGGGGCGGGAGTGGGAGGGGCTTGGTCCTCAGATGCTGTCCCCCAGCTATTGGCCCAGGGTCAGGCTCTGGGGTGGCCGAGGTGGCGTGTACCCACCCTCATCCTGTTGCCACCTGCCACTGCAGGGCAAGAGAGGGAGTCGTTGGGGCTGCCCCACTGTGGACAGCCAGGCCACACTGTCCAAAGGCAGAGCAGCTGCGGTCGGTCAGGGTTGTCCAGGCCGGTCTCTCAGGCGCAGCTGGGCCGGGAGGCAGGGTGATGGGGGCTTTCTAGATTTGGGGCTCATCATCCTGGTCAGAGTCCTGCCTATACCACCTCCCAGCCCCCAAACCCTCAGCTCTCTCATCTAGAAAGGGGCTCTCGGCATTTCTCCCCCAGTCATTGTAGGATGCCAGGCATATGTGATAGGAACTGAACAGCTGTAGGGTCTGATCCTACAGATGCTTTGTGTTCGGTCACATGCTCAGTGTGGCTGAGCACAGATGACTCGTGAACAACTCCATAATAGCATCTCAAAATCCTGGTGAATGCTAAGGAAAGTAATGCCTCCAAAGCACCATGAACCCACTCAGGCCTTCATCTCAGTCATCAAACACCGTCTTTTCAAATGGGACTACCTCTGGCCCCCACCTTTCTTGTTGGAGCACTATCAGTCGAAGGGGGAAACCTGGTTTTGGTGTTAATTCTAAAGCAGCTGGGTTAAGATATTTTAAAGACAAATCTTGAATCTTAAAATCAATGTTTCTGGCCGGCCGCGGTGGCTCACGCCTGTTATCCCAGCACTTTGGGAGGCTGAGGCAGGCGGATCACCTGAGGTCAGGAGTTCGAGACCAGCCTCAACGTGGAGAAACCCCGTCTCTATAAAAATATAAAATTAGCTGGGTGTGGTGCTGCATGCCTGTAATTCCAGCTACTTGGGAGGCTGAGGCAGCAGAATTGCTTGAACCTGGGAGGCAGAGGCTGTGGTGAGCCAAGATCGCGCCATTACACTCTAGCCTGGGCAACAAGAGCGAAACTCCGTCTCAAAAAAAAAAAAAAAAAAAAAAAAATTTCATTTTACTGGTATTCCGTATTCAGAATCACCTTTGCCCAAGGGCAGCCTGTTTGTCTGCTTCAGGGGTGACTTCTGAACTTGGAATTTCCCCAAGGACCAGGGAATTGCAGCACATTTATCGGGGCCCAGTGACTTGTGGTGACTTAGGGATGAGGGTGGCCACTCCCATGAAGGTCAATTACCCAGTTGGGGTGGGCTTTGAGACCTTGGGAGACCAGCCCTACGGCCTCTGGGGAGGCAGAGGGCTGAGTTGATTTCAATCTGAGCATCCCCCAAGATCACCCAGACCAAACTCCCCTCAAGAGAGCAGTGTGCACCCATTTACAAAAAAAAAAAAAAAAAAAAAAAAAATTTCTACCCCACTGGGTATTCACGTATTCAAGAATCACCTTTACCCAAAGGGCAGCCTGGCCTTTGTCCTGGCCCCTGGGGGGTGACTTCTGAACCTTGGAATTTCCCAAAGGACAGGAATTACCTTTGTTATTTATCGGGGGCCCTGATAGTTTATGGTGACTCGGGATAGGGGGTGGCCACTCCAGAAAGGTCAATTACACAGTTAGAGGGTGCAGGCTTTGAGACACGGGAGACCAGCCTGACCTCTGGGGAGAGCAGAGGGCTGGAGATTGATTTCAATCACAAGGCATCCCCCCAAGGTCACTGGACGCCAAACTCCCCTCAAAGGCAAGTGTACACCCATTTACTCAGCAGTGCTCCTAAGTGCCTGCCAGATGCCAGGCCCTGTCTGAGATGGGGAAGGTCTCTCCTACAGCCTGGAAGACTATGAAAGATGTTGAGGGCTGACTGACTTTGGTTAGTGGATGGGAAGCCTGGTAGAGTTCAGAGCCAGGCTGAGCCTCATGGAGACAAATTTGATCATGTGTGTAGAGGTAGCTATCTGGTGGTGACAGAGGAGGAGGCACTCCGTTCAGCATCCTCCCACCAGCCGGGCCCAGGGCAGGCAAGATGGACGATGCTCCATCACCTGAATGTGCCAGGCTTTGTCCTAGAGAGAAACTTCCAGAAGCTTCCTGATTTCATTAGCCCCTGCAGAGGTAGGATGACTCCAGCCTCTGTAGGTTCCTGCTTGAGAAAACTCAATGCTACCAGGAGAACTTACTTTTTGTTCCAGCCACAACCTGGTGACAGGGAGATAGGCCCTGGAACCCCTCTTTGAGCAGCAGTTCCTTTAGAAAGCTTGCAGTTGTGGGCCAGGCACAGTGGCTCATGCCTGTAATCCCAGCACTTTGAGAGGCTGAGCCATATTTGGAATGGTGGTGTTCTGGACCCCAGCATTCCCCCGTTTGAAACTTTCCCCAGGAAGTTTTACAGTCCAGAAACATAGTTGGTAGATTGTCTCATGCTGCATGAATCCTTCTGTCAGTGCTGTGACTAGATCACTCCAGGTAAACAGTTGTGTCTCATTTCAGAAGGTAGTGGTGGAGGTGGGAGTAGGGTGACTACCTAAGTCAGCCTGTTAATAAGGGGCCTTTCTATGTCAACAAATGTGAAGTTCCGTGGTTTGAACAAACCATAAACTCTGGGGTTTTTTGTTGTTTGTTTTGTTTTTGAAGTGGAGTCTCGCTCTGTCACCCAGGCTGCAGTTCAGTGGCACAATCTCGGCTCACTGCAACCTCCACCTCCCAGGTTCAAGCAATTCTTCTGCCTCAGCCTCCCGAGTAGCTGGGACTACAGGTGTGTGGCACCACGCCCAGCTAAATTTTTGTATTTTTAGGAGAGAGAGGGTTTCACCGTGTTAGCCAGGATGGTCTCAAGCTCCTGACCTCGTGATCCGCCTGCCTTGGCCTCCCAAACTGCTGGGATTACAGGCGTGAGCCAGTGTGTCTGGCCTAAACTCTATTTTTCAGTCAAGAGAACATTTAGTTGAGAAGATTCCTAGATGTTGGCTTGAAGTATCTTTTCATGGTAGAGTGAGAGTGGCAGCAGCCGGCCAGTGAATTTCATAGTGTGCAATTTAGATGTCTTTGGTGATGGCACTGGGTGTTCCGGTGAACTTTCTGAGCGGCCTGTACAGCAGGAGGCACAAGGATTATCTGTACATCGTCTGCTGTGATGATTTCTTTGAAGTTTGTATCAAGTCTTCCAGCGTCAGCTTTCGGGCTTTGGGGAAGTGGCAGGTTTTCGGTCTTTGTCATGCCAACTGAGAGGGCAGGGGCAAAACTGGAAATGTTAGCTTGGAGCATTGTAGCCAGATATTGGAGGAAATGAGAGGAACTGAGAACTCGCAAGCGTGCGCCATAGTTTTCCACTGGAGCATCATTTCTCTGTACAGCTGCTTCTCTTTTGATTCTCAATTACAAAATAAGTCTGGTCTCACTAGATTTGGCCTGATTATTTACATAAGGGCAGCAAGAATGAGAATTGATGTATGTAGGCTCTTTTTAAGTCTACCTTGTTAGAACTTTTAATAAGACATCTCAGATTCACTTTTTTTTTTTTTTTTTTTTGAGACGGAGTCTCGCTCTGTCGCCCAGGCTGGAGTGCAGTGGCCGGATCTCAGCTCACTGCAAGCTCCGCCTCCCGGGTTCACTCCATTCTCCTGCCTCAGCCTCCCGAGTAACTGGGACTACAGGCGCCCGCCACATCGCCCGGCTAGTTTTTTTGTAGTTTTAGTAGAGATGGGGTTTCACCGTGTTAGCCAGGATGGTCTCGATCTTCTGACCTCGTGATCCGCCCGTCTCGGCCTCCCAAAGTGCTGGGATTACAGGCTTGAGCCACCGCGCCCGGCCCAGATTCACTTTTTAAAAGCCTCTTGAGGCTAGAAAGCCAAGCCAAAAATTTGCCATCAGGGCCAGGTGTGGTGGCTCACTCCTGTAATCCCAGCACTTTGGGAGACCGAGGTGGGCAGATCACCTGAGGTCGGGAGTTCGAGACCAGCCTGACCAACATGGAGAAATCCCATCTCTACTAAAAATACAAAATTAGCCGGGCGTGGTGGCACACACCTATAATCCCAGCTATTCAGGAGACTGAAGCAGGAGAATCGCTTGAAACCCGGGAGGCAGAGGTTGCAGTGAGCTGAGATCTCGCCATTGCACTCCAGCCTGGGCAACAGCGAGACTCCGTCTCAAAAAAAAAAAAGAAAAAAAAATTTGCCATCAGACTTTGCCTGTAGTATCCTTAGACTTGAGTGAATTTCTCTCTTCTCCAGGTTCTCAATCAATATATTTTAAGTTTCCTGGGCCTGCCAGGAAGTGGCTTTCCTTACTCACTGTAATGCCATACGTAACACTGAATAAGGCTAGTCATCATTTCAAGGAATTTCCCTCATTTTTTTTTTCAAGATGGAGTCTTGCTTTGTGGCCCAGGCTGGAGTGCAGTGGCCTGATCTCAGCTCATTACAACCTCTGCCTCCCATGCTCAAGCAATCCATCTACCTTAGCCTCCTGAGTATCGGGGATTACAGGTGTGCGCCGCCACACCCAGCTAATTGTTATAGTTTTAGTAGAGACAGGATTTCACCATGTCATCCAGGCTGGTCTCGAACTCTGACCTCAAATGATCTGCCCACCTCAACCTCCCAAAGTGCTGGGATTATAGGCATGAGCCACTGCACCCGGCCCTTATTATCTATTTTTAACCGTACTTCACTAGTAAACCCAGCTACATAAAGATGTATGCTTGGATTATACTTAATAATTCAGAAGATGCAGCTGGTTTTTTTGTTTTTGTTTTGAGATGGAGTCTCACTCTGTCGCCCAGGCTAGCGTGCAATGGCACCATCTCAGCTCACTGCAACCTCCGCCTCCCGAGTTCAAGCAATCCTCCCACCTCAAGCGATTCTCCCACCTCTGCCTCGCAAGTAGCTGGGATTATAGGCACCGGCCGTCTTGCCTGGCTAGTTTTTGTATTTTTGTAGAGACGGGGTTTCACCATGTTGGCCAGGCTTGTCTTGAGCTCCTGACCTCAGGTGATCTGCCCTCCTTGGCCTCCCAAAGTGCTGGGATTATGGGCGTGAGCCACCGTGCCCAACCTATACAGCTGTTTTTAATAAATGAACAATATCAGACTCATCTTGTCAGAGTTACTCAAGTCACATGAACTTGAAAAGAATATTTGGCTCAGTTTCTATATTTCTGAGCATTTTAGAAATATTTTATATAAATGCTCATGTCTCTCTAAGCCAATTTGAATAGAACTCCTTTAAGGGATTTTATAAATTAACTTGGTAATACCATCAGAGGGAGAAAATTTTCATGTATACATAACATGCATATCTGCAAACAAAAAGCAATTTTTTTTTTAAGACAGGGTCTCCTTCTGTCACTGAGGCTGGAGTGCAGTGGCTTAATCTTGGCTCACTATATCCTTGACCTCTGGGCTCAAGCAATCCTCCCACCTCAGCCTCTCAAGTAGCTGAGGCATGCACTACCACACCCAGCTAATTTTTAAATATTTTTTTGTCAAGACCAGGGTCTCACCATGTTGCCCAGGCTGGTTTCAAACTCCTGGGCTCAAGTGATCTCCCCACCTCAGCCTCCCAAAGTGCTGGGATGACAGGCGTGAACCACTATGCCCGGCCACAAACCAAGATCTTAGAACTTTCATACATATTAAGATTACCTGTTGAGGGTGAAAGTTCTTATCAGTATTTCAGGAGAAGGCCCTAAAGATTTTTTTCTTTGCCCAGATTATTTCCAAATGGTCCTTTTTACCTTGTTTTTTTGTTTTATTTTTAACCAAAGGTGTACCTAATTCAATGTGACTCTATAAGCCTTTTTGACTCCAATGTGACTCCAAAACCATAAGCCTTTTTGTGGCCATGGATACAAGAGATGTTCTCAGAGTCCCCCAGGATCCCCAGTTACCCCACAGATAGATAGCCAAAAGACAAACAAGCGCCCCAGAGCTGGTGATGGCTGGTACCCCAAGATCCAAAGTTATCCCACAGATAGCCAAAAGAGACTTGACAAGCACCCCAGAGCTGGTGATGGCTGGTACCCCAAGATCCAGAGTTACCCTACAGATAGCCAAAAGACAAGCATCCCAGAGCTGGGGATGATTGGTACCCCAAGATCCAAAGTTACCCCACAGATAGCCAAAAGACAGACAAGCACCCCAGAGCTGGTGGCGGCTGGTAGGATGTCGGCTGTCACCGAGTTTGCATTGCTATAAAGAAATACCTGAGGCTGGGTGATTTATAAAGAAGTTTCGTTGGCTCATGGTTTTGTAGGCTTTGTAGGAAGCATGGTGTTGGCTCTGCTTGGCTTCGGGGAGGCCTCAGGAAGCTTTCAATCCTGGCGGAGGAGGAGCAGGCGTCTCACACAGTGTGAGTGGGAGCAAGACGGGGTGAGGTCATGCCCCACACTTAAACGAGATCTCTTGAGAAATCACTATCATGAGAACAGCACCAAGAGGTAGTGATAACCATTTATGGGAAATCTGCCCCCTTGATTTCATCACCCCTCACCAGTCCCCACCTCCAACACTGGTGATTACAATTCAACATGAGGTTTAGAGGCAACACCTTCCAACGTATCAGAGTGCAACTCATATTTCTGTCTGGCCAGATATAAATTCCCTTTTTTTTGAGATGGAGTCTCACTTTGTTGCCCAGGCCAGAGTACAGTGGCCAAGATTCTCTACTCACTATAAACTCTGCCTCCCAGGTTCAAGTGATTCTCCTGCCACCAATCCCAAGTAGATGGGATTACAGGCACCTGCCACCACACCAGGCTAATTTTTGTATTTTTTAGTAGAGACGGGGTTTCACCATGTTGGCCAGGCTGGTCTCGAACTCCTGATCTCAGGTGATCCATCCGTCTCGGCCTCCCAAAGTGCTGAGATTAAAGGCGTGAGCCACCACGCCCGGCCTGTAAACTCTTGAGGCTGCATCCTGGCTGTTGACTGTTCCTCCAGGCATTTGGAAGCCAAACTGGCCATAAGGGCAAGTTCTCAGGACACAAGACGAAAGGAGAATCTTATCCCATGCTTCTCCTCCTCACAACAAATGACCCAAGAGACAGAGACAAAGGCAAACAGTGACTCTTCCTGGGAGGCTGAGCTCACCGAGGAGTCCTCGAAATCAGATTCGTGAAAGTCACAAGCCAAAGAACCCATTCTTCTGAATGTTGTTCTGTTGGCCCAAATTCAGAAAGGAAGACGACAAAGAGACTTTGACCACCCTCACACAATTGGGCGCTGCAGACAGAAATCCGGGAGGCTGACTTAAGAATTTTTTTTTTTGAGATGGAGTTTTGCTCTTGTTACCCAGGCTGGAGTGCAGTGGTGCAGTCTTGGCTCACTGCAACCTCTGCCTCCGGGGTTCAAATGACTCTCTTGCCTCAGCCTCCCGAGTAGCTGGGATTACAGGTATGCGCCACCCCACCCGGCTAATTTTGTATTTGTAGTAGAGACGGGGTTTCTCCATGTTGGTCAGGCTGGTCTCAAACTCCTGACCTCAGGTGATTCACCCACCTCGGCCTCCCAAAGTGCTAGAATTATAGGTGTGAGCCACCACGACCAGCCTTGAGTAAGAATTCTTACCTTTGGCTGGCTCTACCAGGGGTCCTGGCTCTCCGTGCAGCTCCCAGACTGAGCGAGGGGTTCCAGCCAAGGGTATCTCATCCCCATGGCTAGAAAGAAACCACAGGAGGGGTCAAACTCTTTTCCTTCTACCCATCTTAGGTTCCTTGGTGGGGGCCCTGTTGCTTGGACTGACAACAGATTCACAAGAGAAAAACACACCAGTGTATTTACTAGAAGTTGTACATGACATGGGTGACTTCATAAGGAAATGAAGGCCCGGAGACCTGGTCTGCAGAGTGTGCAGATGCCAGGTTGGCTGGAGAGGTGTGCGAAATGCGATGGACCGAGGGGTCTGAGCCTGGGGCAGGAAACTAGGAGAAATGCCATCTTCAGAGATGAGGATGCCCCTTCCCTCTGGGTATAGGGAAACTTGCCTTTCATGGGATGGTCTCATGACCCGCTCCAGAGGAGAAAGGGAAAGTCAGAGAGTCCTCGAGGCCCAGCCTCCCACGTGCAAGCTGTGTGACCTTGGGCTAGTCACCTAACCTCTCAGAGCTCGCTTTCCTCCTCTCTACACTGGGGTTGTTGACACGCTTGACCTGCTTGCTTCCTTGGAGGGAGTGCTCAGTGACACTGGCGGTTGTGATGCTCAGTTCACCCGTTCTGCCTACTTGCCAGCGTGTGTTTCTTCTCAGAGGGACCCCAGTAGGGGCTGAGGGGGACCTGCACCAGTACCCACCTGGGACCATCATTCTTAGATAAGGTTCAGGCTGTAACACCCTGAGGAGGAGATGGCAGCCACCAGGCTTGGTGGAAATATTCAAGGGAACTCCTTGTTCAACAGCAGCTTGATTTCATGGAATGAGGGCTTTTATTAAGAAGCCAACAGGAATGATCATAGTGGGGTGTTGTAGCTGTCTGGGTGTTTGCAGAGCACCCGGCGTTCACCACCTCTGCAAGGCTCAGGGAGAGGGTGGTTGGTGGGTTGGAGGAGGTGGGTACACAGTAACGTGGGCATGCATGTGGCTGAGTGCACACGTGCATCTGTGTTCACATATGCACCTGCAGCAGGACCTTGAATACTTGTTGGTGGGTTTTTCTGTTTTTTTGAGATGGAGTTTTGCTGTTGCTGCCCAGGCTGGAGTGCAATGGCACCATTTTGGCTCACTGCAACCTGTCTTCTGAGTTCAAGCAATTCTCCTGCTTTGGCCTCCCAGGTAGCTGGGATTACAGGTGTGTGCCACCACACCTGGCTAATTTTTTTTTTAGTAGAGACAGGGTTTTACCATGTTGGGTCAGGGTGGTTTTGAACTCCTGACCTCAAGCGATGCGCCTGCCTCAGCCTCCCATAGTGTTGGGATTACAGGTGTGAGCCATTGCGCCTGGCTGGTTGGTAGGTTTTGATTGGAAGGTTATGGAGCTCAAATGGTGGTGGTGGTTATAAGAGTAACTGGGGGGGGGGGTCTCAGAGTGTGGGCCAGTTGCATCAGGCCCCTGGAGGGTGGGACGCTGCCTTCCCCAAGAGCAACAAAGTGTGGGGGAGGTGCGGTGCTAAGACCGTGAGCAGGCAGTCTAGAGCAGGGGTTGCAAACTTTCTGTAAAAAGCCAGAGAGTAAATATGTTAGGCTTCGTGGGCCTTGCAGTCTCTGTTGCAACTACTCAGCTCAGATCTGGCCCATTGCCTGTATTTGCCAATAAAGTTTCCCTGGAACACAGCCACAGCCACTTTATACATTACCTATGGCTGCTTTTGCCTCATCAGGGCAGAGCGGAGTAGTTGCAACAGAGTCTGTACCCGGAGTAGTTTGCCACCCCCTGCTCTAGATCACGCCCGTTTATGAAGTGATTCGGCTTTAGCAGCTTCCTGGAAGGTGGTGGTGCTGGGTGATAAAGCAGCGGAATGCAGCTTGCAGAATTCAGGTGATAGGGCTTGGATCTGAGGCCCCAGCGCGACTCATGTTGAATTGAAACGCTCGCCGTTGGAGGTGGGGACAGGTGGGAGGTGATTGGATCATGAGGGCGGATCCCTCATGGGTTGGTGCTGTCCTCGAGATAGTGAGTTCTCACCAGATCTGGTTTAAAAGCATATGGCACCTCTGCCCCACTCTCTCTCTTGCTCCTGTTTTTGCCATGGGACGCGCCTCCTTCCCTTTTGCCTTCTGCCATAATTGGAAGCCTCCTGAGGCTTCTCCAGAAGCTGAACAGGGACTGGTGCCATGCTTGTACAGCCTGCAGAACCATGAGCCAGTTAAACCTCTTTTCTTATAAATGACCCTATCTCAGGAATTTCTTTATAGCAATGCAAGAACGGCCACACACACACAGGGTTTGCTGAGCAGAGCCACACAGCCGGAAAGTAAGTGGGGGGCCCAGGCCCGACTGTGGGACAGTCCATCCTCAGAGCGGCCCTCCTCCTGGGCTGGGACGCAGTTCTGCCCCTGGCCCCCTCTGGAGCTCAGGAGGGAGCCCCTGCCGTTCCAGGTGTGGAGAGCAGCCTGCGCGTCACCTGCTGCCGCCAGATCCTACGGAGCCTTCCAGAGCACAACTATGTTGTCCTCCGTTACCTCATGGGCTTCCTGCACGCGGTGAGTGGGCAAGGGGGGGTTGCTTGAGGTGAGGCCCAGTGGCATCTCCTGCCATGCTAGGCCTGCCTGGACCAGTCCCCTCCTTGCCCCAGGTCTGGGGTCATGCCCTGCTTGGGCCTAACCACTCCCCTGGCCACCAAGGACTTCATCCAAGGCCCAGTCAGGCACCCACGCTGCTGAGGACCCCCTGCCCACTCCCATACCTGCTGTCCCTTGGCCATTGCCTTCGGTATTGGGGTCCTCAGCCCCATGTGATCTCCTGCTTGGGCTGAATCTCTGGGAGGTGGCAGCTGCATCTACCACTGGCACAGAGCCTGAGGCCCTCACTGTGGACTGAACTGACCATTCCTGTGGAAGGGACACACCTGGAACCATGTACATTAAGTTCCTGTGACCACACAGTGGGTGGCTTAAAACAATAGAATTTACCATGTCACTCTTCTAGAGGCCAGAAGTCCAAACTCAAGGTGTACTGGGCTGCACTCCCTCCTACAGGCTCTAGAGGAGGATCCCTTCCTGGCCTCTCCCAGCTCCTGGGCACTCCAGACTCTGGCTCCGCGTAGCCCCCTGGGTCCAGCCCCAGCCCCACGGCCCTGAATGTTTATCCCTCTCCATCTCCCTAGGCCTTTGCCTCAGACCATGCAGGGTGCGGGCACTGCCCACTGTAAGGGAGAGGAGGGCCTGGGCAGAGCAGGTGTCACATCCCGGAGTCTGTCAGAGAATGCCACCTCTTGGTTTTACAGCAAACAATTTTTTTTCTCCCTATTGTTTAATTTCTCAGAAGCCCAAAACTAAAATTTACTCTCCTCTTTCAGTTTTTTTTTTTTTGAGACGGAGTCTCTGTCGCCCAGGCTGGAGTGCAGTGGCCGGATCTCAGCTCATTGCAAGCTCCGCCTCCTGGGTTCAAGCGATCTCCTGCCTCAGCCTCCCGACTAGCTGGGATTACAGGTGATTGCCACCCTGCCCGGCTAATTTTTGTATTTTTAGTAGAGATGGGATTTCTCCACGTTGGCCAGGCTGATCTTGAACTCCTGACCCCAGGTGATCCACCTGCCTCGGCCTCTTAAAAGTGCTAGGATTATAAGCATGAGCCACCGCACCTGGCCTACTTCTTTTTCATTGGGAGACCGATTTCTCTCTAGCTGCCTCCTCCACGGGCACTGATGTGAACACACCTCGTGGGGCATGGTGTTGCATGTTATCCCCCCACTGGCACTCGGATCATGCCCTGCTTGGGCCTTGGAATACCACTCCCTGGCCACCAAAGACCTCATCCAAGGACCTCATCAGGACTCTGCAGTCTCGGCTTGAGGAGGGGTGCAGTGGGCCTGGCTGGTGCACAGCTGCAAGGGGCTGTGGGGACTGGCAGGCAGGCAGAGCCTCATAGGCTTCCAGCTGTCTCACTGAAGCAGGGCTTGGGCAAGTCTGGGCATTCTCGCCAGATCTGTGAGCGTGACGCCTGGCCATGCCCCTCTCCTGTTCTCTGCTCTGCCCTGGCACTCACAGCCTCATGACCCCTGTTTCTGACTCTGAGGTTCCCCCCAGCTTGAAGCTTGTAGGGAGGTAAGAAGAGAACAGGCCCTGCCCTCACCTTGGCCCACATGGCCGCCTGCCACTGGCTGGCCACAAGGCCTTGGGCAAGTCTCTCGTACCCTACAGGCCCCAGGTTCCTCATCTGTAAGCTGGAGAAAGGACTCCCCCTCCTGGGGGTGCTGTGTTGGCCGAGACGGATAGGGAGCCCTTCCGGGAGGCAAGCTCTTTGTACTCTTGCCACCCCTCGCAGTGGCCCCTATGTGCTGGCTAGTCCCCATCATGCCCAGTTCACCACCCACAGAGCAGAGGGCCAGAGAGGTCACCTAGTTCCTACCATCTGTGCTACAGCCCGTCCCCCAGAGTGCATCTCCCCAGACGGTGCAGTGGAAGAGGAGATGGGGTGTTGAGGCTATCACAGAAGGTCAGAGCCAGAGGGTCCTCCAGGACGTCGAGGCCAAACCTTCCTTTCATAGAGTAACTGAGACCCTCAGTGGGCAGGTGGCTGTACAGGGTCCCCATACTGGCTGCTGGCTCCCAGTCCAGTGCTTCTCTCTCTACATATGCCCCTCCCAAAGTTCAGGAGCAAGTTCCAGGTCCCCACGGCCCTTGGTGTTCACTCCCCTTTTCTCATTTGTGGTTTCCTCCAGGTGTCCCAGGAGAGCATCTTCAACAAAATGAACAGCTCTAACCTGGCCTGTGTCTTTGGGCTGAATTTGATCTGGCCATCCCAGGGGGCCTCCTCCCTGAGTGCCCTTGTGCCCCTGAACCTGTTCACGGAGCTGCTGATCGAGTACTATGAAAAGATATTCAGCGCCCCAGAGGCACCTGGGGAGCCCAGCCTGGCACCACGGCAACAGGGGAGCAGGGCAGCCCCTTTGCAGGAGGCTGTGCCGCGGACACGAGCCACCGGCCTCACCACGCCTACCATACCTCCGAGTCCCCTGACGGCGGCCAGAAGATGTCTCTAGTGTTGCAAACATTCTGTGTATTTCAAGCTACCTCCCACCCTTGTCAGTGCACTTGTGTGTTTTGTAAACTTGCCATCTGTAAAAATAACCCTGCCTTAGATGAACTCACAACCTTCTAATGAAAACTCCATGCCTCTGGTCCTTGGACTCCTCTATGGTTCCTGAGCTGTGGACTGGGCTAGAGTAATGCATTTGTTAGGATGGATGTTTTGAATCGTAACCCAATGCGGTTTAACTGAAAACGGGAATGGAGTGGCTAGGGGCTCGCCCTGCTGCTGCCGCCACACTGCTGGGTAACACACCGCCCAAGCCCAGTCACTGCAAGCAGCTGCTCCTCATTATTGCCCATGTGTCAGTGGGTCAGCTGGGTGGGTCTGTTGGTCTTTTGAGGGCATCGCTTACATGTCCTGGCTGAGCTGGCTGTCAGGCGGGGTGACTCTGTTCTCCTGCAGGTGTGCCAAGTCCTTCCAATGGCTAAACAAGGGCACATTCTTATATAACATAGGCCCAGGCACACACACAAGCGCTATTGCAGTTTTCATGCTTTGACTGGCGTGCTGTATGCTCACATCCCACTGGCCAAAGCAAGCCTGGTGGCCATGGCCAGAGTCACTGTGGGAGGGCCCTGCAAAGAGGTGGATATGGGGAGGGTGAAGAATTGGGAATAAAGCAGCCAAGCTGCCTAAGGACTCTGCAATCTCAGGCAGGCTGACTCCTCTGGCTAGAAGGATGTGGGTCCTGTGCATCCATCAAACATGGCAGAGGATACAACGTCTTAGTGTCACGTTCCCCGCAAAAAAGCCCCAGCTTCACTCTGATTGGACAAGGTTAGGTCACATGCTCACCTTGGACCCATCGCTGCAGCCTGACCCATCTGATTGGCTTAGGCCTGAGTCCTGTGCCCCCCCCCCAAGCCCCACCGAGACCCGGCAGTGGGGGAGGAGTGACAGCGCTCTGCAAGGGATTATCCTGGAGCCCCACGCTGCCCTCGCCCCAGCTCTTGCTGCAGGGATAAGCGGGGGAGGTTCTGGGGAGCAAACAACAAAAGTCCCCTCCGCAGAGCCCCCGTGGCGGCCCCTCCGTGCCTGCATGGGGTGTTGACCTAGTTGCGCCGGTACCCCGTACCCGTTCGGATGCTTGGGGGAATCACTGGCAGCCCCAGGCCAAACCCACGCCCAGGGCTCTGCTCTGAACTTGGAGGGTGAGGTCTCCTCACTGACCTCCTCCCTTTTCACTTGCATCTTCCTATTCTCCAGCCCCTTGTCTGCTGCTGTGTTTTCTACCCTGCTAGTGCTTGCTGTCCTTAAGGGAGGGGCCTGTGTGGCTGCCGAGCGATCCCCCACGCCTTTCGGTGCACAGCGGGCACCTCGCACTCCAGGGCAAGCTGGGCCTGCAAGCCAGAGAGGGTTCTGCTTTCTTCCAAGCAGCCTCAGACTACCATTCCGTCTGATGTCCAGGTGGCAGCACCATGCCCCTGAGACCCAGCCATTCCTTTACCAAGGGCGTGGATCCTATTACAGTTTCTTGAAGCTGCTTCTGGGCAGAGGAGATGGGACGGAGTCACAAGGGTACCAGGCTGGTGGGAGCCACTGGCTGAATCCATTTTCCTTCTGGGAGAGGAAGGCTCAGTGGCAGCTCGGTGCTGGTGGGGGCTGAGCTGGCCCTGCCTTCAGAACATGGATGGTGCAGGGTCACGGGCATGGGGACAGGGATAGGGAGGGTTGCAGAGTGGCTGTCAGGCCCCCGGTAAGTCTCATGCCATCCCAGCTGGGGATGGAGTCCCCAAATGACACCCCTCTTTGCCCAAGCTCATAACCTACCTGAGTCACACGGTATGTTACTGATGGCGAATCCCTGTGTTCTGCAGCAGCCTCTATCTTTGCCTCCTCAGAAGAAAGCATTCGACTGGGCCCGGCTCGATGACTAATGCCTATAATCCCAGCACTTTGGGAGGCCCAGGCAGGTGCATCACCTTAAGGGAGGAGATTACCCCTCATATTGTCTAATGCCCAATTTCTGTCTCCAAAGAAAGAAGTAAAAACTAAAAGGCAGAAATGAAATCCACAGGCAGACAGCCCGGCGCCGCACCCTGGGCCTGGTAGTTAAAGATCGACCCCTGACCTAACTGGTTCTGTTATCTATAGATTACATTGTATAGAAATGCACTGTGAACATCCCTATCCTGTTTTGTTCTGATCTAGTTACCAGTACATGCAGCCCCCAGTCACATACCCCCTGCTTGCTCAATCAATCATGACCCTCTCACACACCCCCTTAGAGTTGTGAGCCCTTAAAAGGACAGGAATTGCTCACTCGGGGAGCTGGGCACTTAAAAACCCCTTCCTTCTATAACTTGGTGTCTGAGGAGTTTTGTCGGCTGCTCATCTTGCTACATTTCTTGGTTCTCTGACCGGGAAGCGAGGTGAGTGGTGATGGTCAAGGCAGCTCCTCAGGCGGCTTAACCCTGCCCTGTGGAACATCCCTGCCGGGGACTCCGACCAGCCAGAGCAACGCGGATCTTGAGAGCGCTCCCGGGTAAGCATTTGCCCCGGTGGGACGCCTCGCCAGAGCAGTGTGTGGCAGGCCGCCGTGGAGGATCAACGCAGTGGCTGAACACCGGGAAGGAACGGGCACTTGGAGTCTGAACATCTAAAACTTGGTAAGACTAGTCTTTGAAACTTGCCCACTCCATCTGAGTGGAAGTGTGGCCTGATCACCCATGGTGTGCCTTTATCGGCACTTTGGTTTTGGTTTTGATTTGGTTTGAATTGCTTGACAGGACCAGTCTTGGGAACTTGCCCACTCCATTTGAGTGGAAGCGTGGCCTGATCACCCACGGTGTGCCTGTACCGGCACTTTGGTTTCTGTTTTTGACTTGACTTGGATTGGATTGCTTGATACTTTGGTTTTGCTTTTGACCTGGCTTGGATTTCTGGATACTCTGATTTTGGTTTTGATTTTGGTTTGGTGTCAACTGCAAAAGTTGTGTGTGCCCTTTTTACCCGTTTTGTGGTGTGCGTGTGGTGTGAGCGTGGTGTTTTGTCTCCAGGAAACATGGGTGAGGCACAAAGTAAGCCCACTCCACTAGGAACTATGTTGAAAATTTTCAAAAAAAAAAAAAAAAAAAAAAAAAGGATATAAGGGAGACTGTGGAGTACTATGACAACAGCAGGAAAACTTAAAACTTTGTGTAAGATAGACTGGCCAGCATTAGAGGTAGGTTGGCCATTAGAAGGAAGCCTTGACATGTCCCTTGCTTCAAAGGTATGGCACAAGGTAACCTGTAAGCGAGGGAACCCAGACCAGCTTGTTTTAGATCCCCCTCGCCACACACGGTGGTTGACAGAACAGCAGCATAAGCGGCTGGCCGAGGCAAGGAAAGACCAGCAGAGAAAGAGAAAGGAAAGAGACAGAGAGGAAAAGAGGCAAAGAGACAGAGAGAGAGAGAGGAAGAGACGGAGAGGGAGTCAAGGAGAGAGAGAGAAGGAGGCAGAGAGAGGGAGGAAGAGACAGAGGCAAAAGGAAAGTCAGAGACAAAGTCAAAGAGATAAAGAGATATACAAGTAGTTAAGGAAAAAAAAAAGTGTACCCTGTTCCTTTAAAAGCCATCATACCAATTACTAATTTGGACAAAACAAGGTCTTATTAATAGCAAAGGATAATTAAAATCCCAAACTTACAAGGTTTTCAACAAAAGTAAAGTTTGCTAAAAGTTAACAGTGTGACATGTATTATAGTAACTTCTAATCTTGTGGCCTTAGACAGTCTAGTCCACAGACACACACACACAAAAAAAGGTTCGCTTTGGAAAAGAATGGTTATCTTTGGGGGAAAAAAAAAAAGACAAAAAAGGGGGGCAGAATTTATATAAAAAGTGTTATATGGTAAATTCTTGTCCTGAAATAAACTGGTTGTTTAAAAAAAGAAATGTTTGTAATAAGTCAGAAAGTTAAGGCATGTCCAAAAAATTGCCTGTAAAAGTCATGAAAGAAAAAAAGGTTATAAAAAAAGTTTGTAGGCCGGGCGCGGTGGCTCAAGCCTGTAATCCCAGTACTTTGGGAGGCTGACACGGGCAGATCACGTGGTCAGGAGATCGAGACCACCCTGGCTAACACGGTGAAGCCCCGTCTCTACTAAAAAGAAAATACAAAAAAAAAAAAAAAAAGTTTGTTAAAAAAAGAATTTATGCAAAAAAGTTGTATAATTTAAAAGTAACTAGGCCTCCTGAATGTAAAACTATTGAAAACAAAAACAAAAACAGTTTATGTGCAAGGTGTATAAGAAAAGCAAAATATACCTTTGGTAAAAGTATTATAAAGAGGCATAAGAATGTACATTCTTACCTACATTAAAAAGTTACAAGCCGGGTGCGGTGGCTCAAGCCTGTAATCCCAGCACTTTGGGAGGCCGAGACGGGCGGATCACGAGGTCAGGAGATCAAGACCATCCTGGCTAACACGGTGAAACCCCGTCTCTATTAAAAAATACAAAAAACTAGCCGGGCGAGGTGGCGGGCGCTTGTAGTCCCAGCTACTCGGGAGGCTGAGGCAGGAGAATGGCGTAAACCCGGGAGGCGGAGCTTGCAGTGAGCTGAGATCCGGCCACTGTACTCCAGCCCGGGCCACAGAGCAAGACTCTGTCTCAAAAAAAAAAAAAAAAAAAAAAAAA